GACTGATGCAGAGTGACTTGATTTCATGTAAATGCAAGCGCTCTGAGGGAATTCACTTTGGATTACGCGCCCCACTGTGCATGGTCCATGAAATATTAAGGGCTGTGTCACTTTTTGTCCACAGGTGTCACTAGAGGGCAGAGAGGCCGGAGCTGAGGAATTGGAAGGTAGCTGTGGGGGGAGGGATGGGTAGAGGAGAAAAAAAAATCTCCTTACATGTTGATGAGGTGTGGATTTGGTGGGTTTAGTGAAAGCATATGCTCGGTCGTTGTGGCCACCTGCCGCCAGCTAGTTACTGCTTGTCAGTCGTCGCAACGCAATGTCCGCTTATAACTTCTGACATGCAGGGAGAGAAAGAGGGAGAGGAAGGGGAAACTTCAGAGGGAGGGAGTGCTTCTCGCCTTGTGCGTTTTCGGTGATGAGAGAAGTGTAAAAGCTCCCGTCTGTTCTGTTTTCCTTCTTTGAATCCCCCTAAAACTTCCACGACCTGATGTTCTTTATGTGGTCTCCTATTCAGGTCACATTATTCTGAATGGATCACTGGAGGAGCATCTCAAAACCTTGATTAAAACAAATGGGGATTAAAATAAAAACTTGGGGGTGAACGCGAAAGAGTACATTTTAAAATGTCCCGCAATCTGTTTTTCAACCTGCCTTTGCCTTTCAGCAACAGTCTAGCTTAAGTAAAGGTGATGAGAGATGGAGGGACAGATGGTGTTGAAGGGGAGAGAAAAAGGGAAGTGACAGGTGCTCATGTTAAAGGACAGCAGGAGATGACAGCAACCGGTTCACTCCACTCCTCTTTTTCTCCCTTTTCTCTGGCCTCACTTCCCATCTGTGACAGTTAACCTGCAGATATGAAGCTGATGTTGATACCTTGTGACCACCGCTGTGATTAAGTCACTACTTTGATACTTCTTGCCTGGATGATATGTCCTATTTTATGCTTACCAACCTTGTGAAGTCTACTACTTGTCTCAGGTCTCCTCCCTGCCAAATCTGTATGTCTTTTTACAAACTGCAGTTATTGAAGCATGCCATTGTGTTTTTGCTCTGTTTTTTTGTGATCAGGTCATTTTCGGATCTAACTGGAGGTTAAGACATACTGGCATTACATTTTGTTACCCGTTTCTGACAGACCAGGAAATCATATTAAAGTACAGGGCAGCTTGTGTGTGGGTGTGAGTGTTTGTTAGAAAAGAGAAAAAAAAAGTTTAAGTAAAAAAGTAGTCATAGTTAAAATGAATTCTTAAAAAGTAATCGAGTACCGTAATTATTAGATTTAGATAAGCATTGAATTGTGGATGTGCATTTACAGCTGATTAACTTTTGAAGTGGGCCTGGTTCAACATGGTCAGTACTGGTGTCCCACATCTTTAACCTGTTCATAAGCTAAAACTCCATTCCAGATGCTTGGAAAACAGCCTTAGTTCTACCTTTGCTGAAGGAAGGTGACTCCACTTCACCGGACAGTTATTGATCCATCTCTAAACTCTGCATTTTAGTCAAGGTTCTAGAAAAACTGATAAAATCTCAAATCAAAAAGTATTTAGACTCATTTAACATCTTACCTCCCATCAATCTGGTTTCAGGAAACAACACAACGACTGCTTCACTGAAGGTTTTTAATGACATAGCTGAAGCATTGGATGCTAAGGATTATTGTGCTGCACTTTGCTTAGACCTGTCTAAAGCTTTTGACACTGTGGATCATGGGATCATAACATCTTGTGTCATAAACTCTCAGAAATTGGTTTCTCAGATCACACCATTGGTTGGTTCTCTAACTACCGGTATCTTTCAGATCGAAGGCAATGTGTTCAACATAATGTTACTTCCTCCAGTTATTTAATGGTCAACAATGGTGTACCATAAGGCTAAGTCTTAGGACCCACCCTCTTTACAATCTACATAGGTAATGTAGGTCAGAGCATCCCTGATGCATCTTTACATTTCTATGCTGATGACACAGTAGTTTATTGTCGAGCTAAAACAGTTGCTAAGGCTTTCCAGCTTTTGCAATCCACTTTTGACATCATCCAGTCAGATTTGTTCCATCTCTAATTTGTCCTAAATGCAGACAAAACCAAAGGGATGTTTTTTTAAACAGGAAATCGGTCCCAGCGGTTCTTCCCTCAATTTTATCCTCAAATGGTGTCCCTATTAAGTTTGTCGATTCCTATAAATATTTGGGCATCTTGGTCGACTCTCGTCTCTCTTTTAAGCTTCACGTGGAAAACTTGGCAAGGAAACTGAAAATTAAACTGGGTTTCATTTTCAGAAATAAATCATGTCTAACTCTGAATTCTAGGAAACGTCTTGTGACTTTTACTTTCCTCCCCTCCATTGATTACGGTGACATTATTTACATGAATGCTCCTACAATCACCCTGCAGATGTTGGATGCTGTCTATCACGGTGCATTAAGATTCATAACTGGCTGTAACTAACGTACCCATCATTGCACCCTGTACTTATTTACTTTTACATAGCCCTACAATCGAGCTGTTTTTTTTTTGTTACATTTTTTCTTTTAAATACCATTTTATTTTCATTTGTTAAAAAAATATGTACACATCCTTCATGATTGTCTATTATTGTCTTTGTTGTCTACTGTTGTCATCAATCTTTGTTAAAATCAGATCTCTCTTGTAAATGAGTCCCAGAGGCTCAATGGGATTAACCTGTATAAATAAAGGTTGAACGAATGAATGCATTAAGACCATCTCCTAAAGAGTTAGGCAAGTACACAATTCCAGCCCTTTAGTTATGCAGTGGAAGTTGACTAATGGGAACAGAATTTGAGCAATGTCTACAAAAACATAGCTGAGGATGAGCTAGAATAGGATGCCCATAAACCTAAAATGATGAAGGGACTACAACTTCATCATGGCCCAGTTCTTTAACGATTTAAACTTTGAATAATGTTGCTTTATATTTTAGAGTTAAAGTTAAAAAAACTTTCCAAAGCATTCTTTTACAGAGTGGTATCATCCTGCAATGACTTGTCTTCTTTTTATGATTTCCAAATGGATTTCTTCTTCAATGGAAGCTACATTAACTGTTTTTTTTTTTTTTCCAAGTTTAAGGACTTTCTCCAGACTATTCTCCCCATTTCATCAAAGCTATTTATTGTGCTGTATTCAATATGGGTCACATTGGGGGGAGGAAAAAAAAGTATTTATAAATATTTTATATTCAAGTTCAAGAGAAAACAGGCCCATTCTTAAAAAAAAGTACTGTATCTTTCTCCAAGCCTTTAAAATTTTTGGAGTCAAAACTGTGGAAGATAAACCCCCTTGCCTTTAAAAGGTTAAAAGCTTCCTGGTCAAAGATGCGACTTGCGAAACAAAACCACACTTGCTCTTCTTGCTTGGATGAAAAGTGCTGATGATCGTGGAAGCTCAGGTCCGAAAGCCGCAAAGCACGTGTGGGGCAGCCACCTTATCCATTTATATCTCCAGGTCTCCATTCACTTGTTTTCTGTCTGTTTGGCTCACCGTGAAATAGATTATGGATTATTCAGGAAGAAAGCAGGTGCTCCCTCTCTTCTTTCATAAAAAAGGTTGCATGAAAGCGATGAGAGGGTAAGAATGAACCGATGGACAGAAGAGTGGATGGATCTTCCATTGAGAAGAAAGGGCAAGATTGCCTGTTTACTTTTTCTTGCATGATGGTTAGTTAGAAGGGCAGATGAATGAGTGATAGGAGGGGAGGCAAAGGCTGAATGAATGGAGTGAGTCAGGTAGTCCTACCTGGAATAATGCTGCTGTACTGCAGGTTTTAATGGCATATAAAAGCCCAGAACTCATCTTTTATTCAGTTAAAGAGCCTGACAGGTGAATACATGTGTCCCAAGAGGACGCGCAAATACAACGATCTATATATACACGTGTGTTTGTGTGTGTGCTTCAAGACTTGAAATAGATGCAACATTTTAAGCTGTGTTAACTCAAAGAGGCACTTAAAGGTAGTTTGCTGCATGGGAGAAAGGTGTATTGGTACACTTGATGTATTTATATATAGCCAATATTTTACATGCATTGATATTTCTGTTGCACCTCTGTTTACAAAAAACACACATTAGGTCATGTATCTGTGCTCTTTTAGGCCTTTATTCTGTGTAGGCCCGCTCCGAGACATATGCAAAGCGCTGCTTCCATCATTAGCCATTCCCTGAATTCTCTGATTGTTCATTTATGTGTCTCTTCCATATGCATGTTGTGTTTTTAGTCTCCTTCCCCAGGGCAGGACCTTGCTTGGGGTGCTAGTGCTAATGCTAGTACTGATCATATTTTTATGCTTTACCTTTACTGTGGATCCAAATATTATAAATATTCTTATTTTTCACATAAATTACAACGCAATCAGCAGTTTATCTCCAGCCAAGCGATAATGTTTTTGCCCGTCTCTGTGAGTGTTTCTCTGTCATGTTAAAAACATTGGTAGGTTTTAATGAAACTCTTAGAAAGTAATCTTTTATTTTCCTCTACAACTTACTCAACCCAATAAAGGTCGGCTGCTTTAGCTAATCAACCTTAGCAAATTGGCTATAACTGAGTAAAATGTACAGATATTAAGCTAAACTTTGGTGTATTTGGAGCTGAGGCATGCTTAAAACATATGAGTGCTTAACATCCAGCTAGATCTCACAGAATCGCATGAAATCGTGCATCACGGTATTCAATTTGTTTGAGCAAAAACGGCAATAACTCCTATAATTTAAGGTAAAACAGCACCTGGCAAAATGCATTACTTGACGGACTGCTAGGCCTTTTTATTTAAACTTTTTCTTTACATTTCTATGATTATAAAAGTACTTGGTCTGATTATTTTGATGTTTATTAAAAGAAAACATTGTTCCTTTCTTTGTTGGACACAAACTTTGCTCATGAAAGCAGTTTTCTACTATTTAATGACATTTTCAAGCCTAAAATTGAATAATTCATCTTAAACGTGTTTACAGGGATGCACAATTTTGATTTATCGCTGTCTTTCAGGTATTCTAGAGGTGATCAGAGGCATGGAAAAGTTAGGTGTGAGCCTTGACTCTGAAACTTTATCCATGCACATCCTCTCTGCCTTCCCCAACATGGAGGTGGCTCGTCAAGCCCTCAAGGTAATTGATAATCACCAAATCAGTCTGTTTTTAAAAAAAATCTGTGTTCGTGTAAATTGTACTGAAAATGTGGCTTTCTTTTCAGAATGCAGGTGTATCGGTGGATTCTGAGAACTATTTGACCGCAGAAATTCGCAAGATGGCTGTGACTGACCTGGCCAAATTGTACACCATGTGTAAGTATCCGTGCATGCACTACTTCCCTGCAGTTTAATACAGTTTGAAAAATCTCTGCCGCATCCCGAGCATCCATCAACTTAAAAATCGCTGCTTCGCCTGCAGGCTAATTGTTCCGGTGTTGACACTTGGATACACACAAGCACACACACATTTGCCCTCTCATTCTCCTCTGTGCTCATCAGGCCTTTTAAGAGATTAGTCTGTGTGAATTTGTCAAAAGCGCGAGCGAGAAGCGCCTCATCTTGCAGAGGGTCGAGATGGAGAGGGACGCTAAATAATGGATAGCTCTTCCTGTTTTCTGTCTTTCATCTTTTAGTCTCAAGCCCTCACCGCTCTCTGCAACATATATGGCTCTGTTTCTTCTCCGTGCATTGCCTGATTACATTTATTTTACTTCATGTTTTCAAAAGTTTCACATCTTTCCACGCAACCTCGATAGCTTTGTAAAAGATATTCTGAATCTAAATGTGACGTTTGGTCATTTTTATAGGCTTCTGTATGAAAATTATATATATTTTTTTACATTGGTTAGATTCATAATTGGTAGTATACCGTTAATATCTTGAGAGTATAAAACTCTGAATCAATAATGGAAGTGAGTAGTGTTTTTTTTTTCCCCTGAAGCCATAGCCATTTTTAAATTTTAGGGATACAGTAGTCCCTCGAATATTGCGGGGGTTATATTCCACACCTCCCCCCCCCCCCCCCCCCCCGCCATAGTTGAAAAACCATGAAGTAGGAACGCTATATTTATTTTAGTATTTATATATATTTTAAGGCTTTATAAGCCCTTCCCACATTCTTGCAATGTTCTAAACTCTTAAATCTACATAATTTTAACAACATACATATATGTACTGGACAGTAGCTTCTGCAAAATTTTATATAGGTATTCACCAGCCTTGGTCTGATTTTGGTCCAGTTCTGATCAGCTTTTTATTGAGCACCAATACGCATTTAGAGGGAGCTGGACCTTCGAAGAGCCAGCACAAAACCACACAATGGTCCCGATTGAGTCTAAATAATCCAGAGGGTTCTGGATGAAAAAAGTCTGGGTGAGCTCCAGAGAAAACACCGGACCTCCAAGCCACGCCTCCCCGCTCGAGAGACCTCATGGGCCGGCTAGCAGTACTCAGATTGAACAATGAGGCTGGAAGTAGTCCTGGTCCAATTCCTGGTTGGTTCCGTACAGTCCTCTGCAGCCGCTGAGCGCCGAAGTCACTATGAATAAAGACCAAACTTTTTAGTCAGGTTCGGATCGGATCAAAACTTTCCCTCCATTTCGGCAGAAAGTAGCACTGCTGACTTCTGGACGGTGTAGTTCTTTTGACTGGTGATACAGATTAGGCTTGTTGAAAGAAAACTACAAAATGGCGGCACCTGTCCCAAGTATATTTTTTTCGTTAACTTTTTATCTCATACCGTCCCAATCATGCGAGTAATATTAAAGTTGATCGTTGTTGAAAAACCGCAAAAGCGAGACCGCGAAAGTCGAACCACGAAGTAGCGAGGGACTACGGTACATTAGTTTCTAGTTCAACTTTGTTTTGGAAAAGTCAGGATTTATGCTAATGCTGCAACCATCTAAAACACACTTTTTAATGCAATATTTAGAAAGCAATAATTTATTTCTGATTGTGTTGATATAAACCAAAATCATTTTGTTGGGCAACTACTTAAACTCAAATGTGTAATTTAACAAAATGCAGAACATAGCTGAAAATCTGCTAGATAGTAGTTCAATGGTTTGTTTTACAAGTCAGACTTTAGTCCATTGATTTTTATTACACATCATATTTGACATAATTTGTGTAACTTTTGTTTATTTATTTTTTTATTCTTCTTCTTATTTCAGTGTCGGATCCTTCTTTCCCCCAGTTGGACCTCATGACTTTCCGCGGCAGCCTTTTAACAGCCTTCAAAAAGTGAGTCACTTAGCCTGTTTCTGTTTGTCATTCCCTGTTTTACCTCACTTTACATTCCTTATTTTTTACATCTTTGGCCTCGAAGCCCCAGACCTTGGTTTTAGGGTGGCCCGTAGCTCTATCGAGGTCACTGCAGCATATGCTGTGAATGTGACATGTGCAACTTCTCACACCATCCACAAGCGTCTGTGCATGCGTGCAGCTGCGGGGAGAACCACTGCGTCACACATGCACAGAGATATACACGGCTGTCTCATGCATATGGAGGACCATCAGCCCTCAGCTCTCACCCCAAAGCACCGTGGGAGATATGTAAATTAGCAGATGCCCACCACTATCCTAGACTTCTGTACTGGTTGCATTTTCTTTCACTCTGACACGCACAAAGTTAGCCTTAGGAACAGTGTCTGACTCACAGGCATTTGTTGAAGGGGTGTTTATGAATATTTACAGTTTAGCACTACACAGCCACACAGAAACACTCCGGCCCCTGAGCAACGCTGGAAGTGAATCAAGTAGTAAAGTGCTGACTTGCCTGCAGGGACTGAAGATATATATTTTTTTCTCTGAGCCAAAATACGCTCGGCTGAACTCAACTTTTGGCTTCAGCCTGCACTTTGTTACTGTAACTCACTGAAGATGTGTAGAACTTGATATACTGCATAAAGTCACTGTAACTTGTCAGTTAAAAATATTTTTATTTTCACATTTTAAATCATTACAACATACAACATAGTGTGCTTCTGCGTAAGCGTGTCCTTTTTTTTTTTTTTTCTTCTGTGTAGATGTTCTAAGTCACCATTAATTACTGTCCCCGTTTTATGACTGAATCCACTTCCTCTCCTCCATTCGCTTCACTCTCGTTGCCTCAACACACACAGTACACACAATACACACTTGTGATGGTTAGGTTGCCTGACAGGGTCGTAATTGGGCTTGTCACTTGAGAAGCGTCTGTGTGTGTATTTGCGAGCGCCATGTCGTCGCCGTGCAGGACCTGCCCCTGTCAAAGACAAGGTCAGGGGATAATTTAATCATTAAAGACCTCTTCTTCTCTCATCTCCCCCTCTCTCTCTCCTCCTTTCCACCATCTCGCTGACAACGCCAGAGATGTCACACATTGTCATCATTTAGCCTGTGTGTGTGCTCGTGTGTGACTTTGTGTCTTTTGTGGTTTGCCAGACTTTTGTACTGCCGTCTCTAATCTGTTGTACTGTGGGATGGAGAGTGTCAGGCTGGAAAATCTGTCGTTATTTCTTGACATATAGTGACTTCTGCTGTCAATCGAGTAGCTATGGCAACATGATACTGTCAGTGTTAAGATAATTTGTATAGAAATCTGTGTTTCTGATGAATACAAGGAAAGTAGACTGACGGACATTAACTCCTGGCCAAAAGTTGTTGAAATATTTTTTACAGATTTAAAACGATATTTAAAAAAAGTGCTGTTTTTAATCTAAATTTCCTTAAAGAAATATTTTAAACGATTTAAATTTCATTGAAAGCTTTTTACTGTTATGAATTATTTGCTCATTAAGCCCAAGTTATGTGTGTGTATGTCCACCACTATCCTAGACTTCTGTACTGGTTGCATTTTCTTTCACTCT